CACTGCTACAGACATGTGCAGACTTGACGCCTCAGATGAAGTCGGCGCAACTTTAAGGCCTCGTCGATCGAGGCAGACTGGCCTTTCAACCTCTGCTTCAGGCCATGATTGCCTGGAATAAGCGGTCATGGTTTGAACGCGTCTGGACTATCCAGGAGGTCGGCCTCTGTCGCGAAGCGGTGTTTCAATGCGGTTCAAAAACCATTACAGTTGAGCTTGTTGCATTGGCCTGCCACGTATTTGACTCCAGCATCGTGCGGCTTTCTGACAACGTACCGGAACCGGAAACACTGCAGATTTTGGCTGCCGCTCAGCAGCGAAACTCAGCACACATCCTGGGCTCTCGCCGGCGTCGACAAAGGTTCAACCAGGGACTCGACGAAGGAGAGACCCTTCTTGCCCTCTTGAAGAAATTTTTCACTGAGCGAACTTCTTTGGTCACATACATCCCGGATCGCATCTACGGACTTCTTGGTCTGGCCGTTGATGCGGGACAACTGGGTATCGTACCCGATTACACAGATGATGATCCATGTCCTTCCTTTACAGCAGCGGCAAGGGCCATGATTGAGAGCGGAGGAGTCGAACTACTGTCGTATTCCCAGTTCCCAAAAGAACGAGCTTTGGAGCGTCTGCCGTCGTGGGTCCCCGACTGGCGACCTATGCTGCAGAAACCCTTCAATCATATCCATGACAGAGTGGATGATCACCAGTTTATGGCTGGTGGTGAAACCACTGTCACTCTGGTTCCTACCGAGTCAACTTCGGTTCTAGGAATCCGCGGCTACATTGTCGACACAATCGAACAAGTCACCTCGAAATGGAACGGCGGCGATTTCCAAGACAGGCTGAGCAACTTTCGCGACGCCCAGCAGCTCTTTGAGCTCGCAATGACAAAAGAGGACCCGATCTACGACGACCCTCAGCGTCGTGCCGAGGCACTGTGGCGCGTGCCGATCGGCGACCTCTACGACGCCGACGACATATTTTCCTGCCGAGCGCCATCCGCCGCCAAGTTTCATTATGATCGATGTATCGCGTTGTTGGAAATCGCCGTGACGGATGATTTCGGCGCTGATGCCGAGGAGCAGATGGCCAATTATGCGAAGCTGAGACATTTCCAGAAACCATACTCGACATATCAGAGCGCTGTGTCTGGACTCCTTGGAATGCGGCCGTTTGTGACCCGGAGTGGGTTCCTGGGCATGTGTGCTGGAGGTACAACAGAGGGAGACATTGTGGTCGTTATCTGTGGCTCAAGGATTGCTCACATTCTCCGGCCACTGCAGGGCGGAGAGTGCTTCTCATTTGTGGGTGAGGCATATTGTGACGGCATCATGGACGGCGAAATCGTGCAACGGAGGCCCGAGACGACGTTCTTGATTGTGTGACATGCATGAGCGCTTGGTGTGCCTGGTTGATCATCATCCTCTTTGTAATATCATTGTACCACAGCGTTGCGATTTGTCTCTATTAACCGTTGGCGGTGGTGCTGGCCAATCTATATCCATCATCGGATGAATCGTTGTTTTTATTCTTGAACACAACGTCTCATGCAACTTGCATAAAACCAACCGACTTACCTAAGCTTCTGAAAGAAAGTCTGAGGGCCACATTCTGGTTGCCCACACCTGCGCCTTCCCCTTCCCTCATATAAGGGGCGCGAAAGAACATCATAGACCACCTGGTATACGACAGGGGCAAATTAAGTCGCGACATGGCCTCGTTTCGGAATCTTCCCAGCTTTATGAGCTTGATTGATACAGTCGACAAGTGAGACGCCCGCCCCCTCCCGGAATAGTCCAGGGCTGACGTGATGTTGGGACTGACAGCGTGCCACTCGACTTTGACTTTGGTAATTTGTACAAGCTTCTACTCCCCGGCGACAGAAGACCCCACGGTTTCATCGTCCCGGCCACTGTCTCGAGATTGCCCTGGACGGGCGACTTCGTCGTCAACCACGAGCGCCGCTTCGTCCAGGTCAAGGATGCGCCCTCTGACGTAGATCCCAGCAGCTGGTGCAATCGAGCCTTCCAGGCGGTGGTCGACGCCATGGTGGCGGACGCCGACACCTTTAAGTCCGTCCACGGACGCCACAGCGAGTTGTTTCGCGTCATGGGCGCAGACTACCCTGTCAGTATCGAGAGGTTCCCGGCGCCCCTATTCGGAATTGGCTCTCGCGGGGCGCACATGACAGGGTACGTGAGGACTGCCGAGGGCCTGAAGATTTGGGTGCCGAGGCGGAGCCGGCACTTTATTCACGTACCCTGGCATGCTTGACACGACTGTGGCTGGTGGGGTCAAGGCGGCTGACGAGCCGTGGGACTGTATCGTCGCCGAGGCGGGC